CTTTCCTTTAAATACTACATGCCGCCCGGCTAAAAAAAGACACAACCTGCAGCGGACCTCATGTAATTTATGGGCTTCACGATGCACATCGAAGATAGAGTTACGGTCAATAAGTGTACAGAAATGTATACTGCAATACCCCTTTTTTGTCTATTCAAATTTGTATACGGCCACACAGTACATGTAGTAGTTTTATAACTTGTTCACTTTCATCTGACTACAAGCTAATATAAAGGTCATTGCAAACTTACTTAGTTTCTGACACATTTTCTTTGATGTCAGCCTAAAGCGAGTAAAAAAGTAACTGAGGATTTACAGCATAAGCTAGAAAGTTGACATGTTATCCCCCGCACTACACTTGTACGTACGCCCAAGAAACACGAATCAAGACTTGGGGGTGAGCGCATTTTGAGACTCACGTGGAGATGTCTGGACAGTCGTAAGATCAAATCTACAAGCATACATTGGAATGTGGGGGAATTATGGTGTCACTGTCAGCCAAGGAGTTTAGAACTAATCTTTTAATCTCCTTGCTGTCAGCTAATATTATCAGCTACTGTATCCCGATTCTCATTTTTATTATTTTATTTTTGTGAGCGACTTGAATTTGTTGCGATTTTCGAGATCTTAAAAGAAATTTGCGAATTCAAGTTTTCGCCAACTGTTTGAAGGGGCTCTCCTGCATTGGAACACATGTCACTGGGCGAATAAAATTGGGAATTAAAAAAAACCCAAAACAATATGAGTAAAAGCGAAAAAAGAGCGCGTGTAAAAAAACCGCAACCAAAACAAAACAACAAAAACAAACAAATACAAAATAAATTATATAGTAAAAATACTGAATCCATGATTGCCTATTTTCATCTCGACGAGATGCTCAATATGCATTAACTTTGATATGCACGATCGAGAAGAATGTTTTTAAAGCCTCTACCCCCCCAAAAAAATGTCACACAGTTCGACACACTGGTACACTGACTAAAAACCAACAGCACTATTACATTAACCAGGTATGTGGACATAAAAATGCAAATCAGTAATATAGATCACGCAGATGGACATAAAAAGCATGTTTATGGTTGACAACTCACAATGTGAAAAAAGAATGAGTCTACACGTCGGATGAGTGCGATATAAAAGAAAATGCTCTATTGCTACCCCCCCCCCCCACCAAAAAAATTATTTAAAAAAAAAGTAATTGCATTACAGGGCAGCCCAACTAAAAACGAGTTACAAATAGTCAAGTTTAGAAAGAAAAAGGGATGTTACAAACTTTGTTGCTACTTCTATAGTAAGAGGAGATTTTAAAACTGCTTATTTTCCTCAGTTGGAAGTGGAGACTTTTATACCTTGAACTGATGGGCTGTCATCGACATGTCATTGTCAATCATGTATTCGAGTTCGTTAAAAAAACAAAACTTTTGATGCCATATCATTATATGACCATTGATATCTAGTATCTACTGGTTGCAGATGCTAGAGGTTGGATGCAATTCCTTGGGTTATTAAAGACCATGATTTCAGTTTTGTCATCATTAACGTTGAGTATGTTACTTCGCAGCCTCGGAATTACAATGTTCTATCAGCTTGGTCGCTAGATCTACTTTTGAGAAATTTGACGTCAAAGATTTTGAGTTTCATATCAAGTCACGCTTTGCAATTTTTTGAATATCTTGATAACGACTCCGAACAAACTTACGATTTTGATAGAGCAGATAGAACATTTGATTTCTGACCTCAAGGTCTTAGTAACTCAAAGCTGCCAAAAACGCCAGATAGAACTTTGTAATTCTAAGGTAGCGACTTGTCATCCATTGCTTTATCCCAGGTACACGCGGAGCAGTGACAAATCGGGAAGGACTTTTCATAACGGACAACCCCTTTCATTATTTTTAATGATACTTATTGTTTTTATGGAAACCTTTCTTCAAGAGCCACTTCAGTCTCGCTCACGTCCGTGCCATTCTCTCTCTCTCTCTCTCTCTCTCTCT